GTTGTTGTCTGCTGTACATTTTGGCGCCTTTTTGTGTATTCACCTCTGCGAGCATAAGCCACCACGCACATACAGGGTGCACTTCGCCGTCCCTCTCTATGTGTGTGTGTGTGTGTGTGTGTGTTTATTTTGAGGGTAGCAAAACATAAACAAGCAAGTAATTTGTGGGTTTTTTTTTTCTTATTTGTACGTAGTTCCCTGTTGGCCGTATCCATCGTCATCTGAAGAGTCGTACTACATCCCATGGTCGCGTTGGTGCAACCGCAGCCGTTTACTCCGCTGCCATATTGGAATATTTGACTGCCGAGGTAAGTGCTTACTTGATTTTCCCGCCTCTTTCGACCATAGCGGTACAACCTCTCTGCAACGGTGTTTTACATGAAAATGTAAACGCTTAACAGACAGATGGTTGTGCTGTTACACGGGCTTTCCATGTTAACGGCTGACTAATTTGAGTTTTCTGTTTTTCTATTGGATTTTAGGTGCTGGAATTGGCAGGCAATGCATCGAAAGATCTGAAAGTGAAACGTATCACACCGCGCCACTTACAGCTCGCCATTCGTGGAGACGAGGAGCTGGACAGCCTGATTAAGGCAACTATCGCCGGCGGCGGTGTCATTCCCCATATTCACAAGTCGCTGATCGGCAAGAAGGACGACACCGTCCAGGATCCGCAGCGAAAGGGCAATGTGATCCTGTCGCAGGCCTACTAACTGCCACATACCCTACCACTGACACCCCCTTTTAAAAACTATGAAGAATTAAGATTAAAGACCGATGAAAAAGTGTGCAGCGAGCGAGAGAAGAGAGAAAGAGATCCAAACATACCGACGAAAACAACAAGATAAGAATTATAATTTTAATAATTTCTGTTCGATTGCAACGCATAATTAAACACAAAAGAATCCATAATTATACGTAATTATAGACATCCGACCCCCCAATCCAACACACCTCCACAATCCCCCCGTAAAGCATCCACACACACACACACACACACGCACACACACATCCATAAAATACATGAGCGCACGCATTATATTTTATAATCTTAACAACAAAATGAAAAAGATTAAAAAATAAATGCAATGAGCGGCGAGCGGATCATAAAACAGATGAGTGCAGAAATTAAAGGATATATAAGGATAAGCGCAAAATAATTACACGAATAAATTTAATAAAAATTATAATAAAAACTCAAATCCTGTTATTTCCCCATAAAACAATTTATTAGAGACATTTAACAAATATTATTGAATGTTGCAATAAACTTTGTGCACGAAAATGTGTTGAAAATTAGGATTGTTAAACGAATATCAAACTCTAAGCTCAAAGCTCTAGCCCAAGAGATGCGGCTGTGCCTTCTGGACATCGTCGCAGCGCTCATTGAGGTCATCGGCATCCAGCTCCAGGCATGCGCCCCACTCGACCAGGGTGATGCGATGATCCTTGTTCGAGTCGCAGCTCTCCAGGAACGGGGCAATGCAGTGCTCGAGGCTGACCAGCGGCGCCCGGATGGGGAACAGCTCGTGACGCGACACGGAACGATCGGTGTCGCCATCCAGATCGCACCACTTCCAAACGGCAGCATTTGCCCAGCGACGGGAGTTGTTTGTCTCCGCCTCCAGCTCCATTTGCATGTAGTGCTCGGTCAGCTCATCCCGCTCGGCCAGGTCACGCATCACGTTGAACAGCCAGTCGCGCATGCGGCGCGGGAAGTCCTTCAGATCCTCACCGTCGCAGGTGCGTGGCTCGTGGCAGGTGCCGTAGTAGTCGATGTGCATGTGAGCGTTGTCCGGATTGCGGCAGCCTTCGTGCTGGATGTCGCACCAGCAGCGCTGCTGATAGACGGAGCAATCCGAGGGCCAGGTCTCGTTCGTGTTGGTGCAGACAAGGCGACGTTTGTCCACCTCCTCGGGGCAATCGGGAATGCACACGCACTCGGGCTTACCGTCGTTCAACTGGCAGATGCGACCAGCGCCGCAGGGCATGGTCTCGCACAGATCCACCTCCACAACCGGATTGAGGAGATTATGCTGAACGGCGGCCAATTTGCTGGAAATCTCATTCTCACGCTCCACATCCTTGATCTGTGAACGAGTTGCATGAATTTCAATTGTGAAAAAGTATTTTGGGTTCTGTTCCCACCTTGGCCTTCTCCTCCAGCAGGCGCAGGAACTCCTCTTCGTTTTCATCCAGGTCGGACAAGTCCAGATCCGACAGATCCAGATCCTCCTCGGCGGCTTGGCCCTGCGACAAGGCCAGCAGCGCCAATCCGAGCAACAGCCAGATGGAACGCATCTTCTAGCAGATCTTAAGAGTGAGGGGAGAGGTTCATTTTACAAAAGTTTCTGCCTTAACTGTACCGCTGTGCCGGAACGTAACGATCTTTTTGGTTGTAAACTACCCCTGCCCCAACCCTAACCTTAAGGGGTGGTTTACATGCTGCGGAATGCTGATCGGACTGCTGCATCAAAGACAATTGAAGCCGTAGCGAAAATGCGCCACAGGGTTCAAGAGGTCAAATGCGTACATTTTCGTACAGTTGCAGAAGCAGATGGAGGAGAGAACTGTCGTCCATCTAATGGGGAAGTGAATTTATGGATCTGTGCAAAAAGACAAATGAAAACAAAGCCAACACATTGTTGTCTTGGCAGAGAGGGGAGTGCAGTGAGTGAGTTCCTTATTATAGATTGGGGTGAACCCGCCAGAAATAATGGAAGTCGGAAATGTGTTCCATAAAACTAAACCAATAAGAACTCGAGAAATCCAATTGAATATCTAGAAATTTCGACTTTGCATTGCATTTGAAGAGTGATGAAATGGTAATTATCAAGGGGAAATATTGTTCAAGTTTAACCATGGAAACCAAACTAAATTTTTAGTCGGAATTACTTTGATCTACCCCCTAAATGTGTTATATTTCTGATACACTTCCGCTAAATATTTCTCTATAAACTGCAACCTCAAGAAAATGGTCCATAATACTCTATGGACCGGGGAAAGCATGTCGAACACATGGCAAAAAGCTTTACAAAAAATAAAAATCTTGTTTATGAAGTCATCTTTAAATGGAATATGTATGTGTGTACATACATTTGTATGTATCAACTTAGTTTCCATGTACTCTAGGTAGAACTGCCTGCCCCTGATTAAAACTGACCTTAATGTTAGAAACGAAAACCATATTTCCATAGATCCATTATAATCAGCCCAAGATGTCGCCCCAATTCGAATGTCGCATGGTGTGTGGATTGCCCAACGACAAATTTTGTGATTATAGCAAGGTCCGACTTGGCCCCAGTCTCCATCACATCTCACTGCTGCTTATCAGGATCGGCTGCTTCCGTTTTCGGGGCGACTGAGATTTGCTTAATCGGAGAAATAATGCGCCACAAATGTAAAAAGAATACAGAAAAGAGAGACAGCTGCAATTTCCAGGAATATACACAAGAGTTGGATGCTGAAATGCATTCCATAGATGCATGTATGCCTGTGCATTCCTATACAGATGTGTCGGGCTTTATGGTGGATACATTTGTTGTGGTTGCAGTTTAATTATAACGAAAAGTCGAGCAACAATGACGTGATGCGGCGAGTATATAGCCACAGAGATGTTTATGTTGGGAGGCGAGGCTGATGAAATGCAGAGGATTGACTCTGCCTGCTGCCCCGTTGTACGTCCAACCTCAAGAAAAACAATTTAGATTCATCTGCGGAACTGCATAAACTGCCAACGATGATGATGACACTTCTAAGGAACACTCTCTTGACCTTGCAACACACAGAACAACACAAACTTGTCTTGGAAATGAAATGAACTCGAAATTGATTGGCAAATTTCCACAAAAATTGAGCTCAATTAATCACCAATCGATTCGCTGACCATTTGCCAATATTTATTGCAAAACATTGAACTTGAGGAGGAAACTTGAGAAAAAACCAAAGCTGTCATCCAAAACGTTCCAACGAACTTTGAACACTTCTTACAGACCAAGATCGTATTATACACTCCGCTCTATTATATTTGTACTCACTATATTACTCAAGTGTTATTCCTTATTCAACTGTCTAAGCGCGTTGGGGTTGGGCGAATGAATGAATTGCTTGGGAAAGATTATGGATCGCCTGAAAAATAAAACTGGAGCACATCCAACATTTGGAATGGGGGCCCGAACTGTCGCCTCAAACATGCTGCCTTGCAACATGTTCGCTCGCAGAGAAAACACACAAAAAGTATTCATTTTTTTATAGTTCTTTATTTATTAGTTAGACAACATTTCAGTAAATAATATATGACTTACCTCCCAGTGTAAATGCAAGTTTTCGTTGGTGCTGCTCCTCTCCAGTTTTGTCTCAGGTTGTTGGTGGTTTTTGTTGAAAAAGAAATATTGTGGTTTGCTTTAGAATGTCTGTTTAAAGATTGCATTTGTGTTGTAAAGATATAAAGCAAAAAGCGCACTTATTGAAAAGTCTATATCGATATTGTATCCTATGCGAATGTTACGATCTGAAGTACGAGTACACCTGGGTGGGTTGCCTCTGCGCTAACTTACCTTAAGGCTACAACAAGCTTGTCTCAAGCGTTTTTAGGGCTTAGCATTTGCATTGGTAAATATGTTTAAAATTAGTTTGAAAATTGTGTAGGGGCTTGCGATTACGTTTGCGTACCTAGAATTGCACTAAAAATTAACTAAATCTTTATAATAGCATTACAGATTAGTGACTACTTAGACTGGCATTCACTTCTTGGACGGGAGAGAGAGAAATGGAGAGATAGAGAGAGACTTACAACTGGATAGTAGCTCAAAATAAATGTTTAGATACAGATACAGATACATAGTGTTGGTTTTTCAGGTTTTATTTATTTAAAATAAATACGAATTTTCATATATTTTCGGTTAAGTGATTAGTGTGTGTTTTGTATTCGTAAATGTAGAGAGTGGAGGACTGGCTCTAAATGAAGCTGGCAAAGTGGACCCGCGATCTAAGCCTCTTCGCATATTTGCTCTTATTCTCAATACATAATTAATCGTATATATAATATATGTAGTATATATAATTCATAGATCAAATTTAAAGCCTTTGGCGTGAGCTACAGAACGTAAGCATACATATAATATAAGTGGTAATAATATTGTAGAAAGAGAGAATAAGTATTCATACATCTAGTTAAACTGTTGATCTAAACTTAACTTAGAGTTCCGTGTGTGTCGTGGTTCGTACTCAAAATCAACATTCATATATATATAATTACTATATATAGTTTCTCATCGTTTGTCAAACAAAAACAAACAAATTCTGGCCCAATAGATGGGCATCAAAACGTAAAAAGCTTCCAAATAATAATATAACAAAAATCATGCGCGTATTTTCGTAGTTCTACTGATTCACTGGACTATTACTAAAATAGAGTGACACTTGCAGCCATTCGAATTAGTTTCGAATTGTTGAACACTATGCTTTTACTCAACACCATAAGTTACAGTATTTCTGGTAACACATGACGAAAAATAATGGAATAATCTCATGGGAACTGAGGGGAAATCGATTAGAATAAGTCGCTAATCATTAAATTAAGAACTTACTCAGCACTGATATTACACTCCACAACACTTTACTTGTAATAATTAAATTAAATTGAATGTCCTATCCTTGAACGTTTTACAACCCTATGTCTATATAATCAATTGATTTTTGCAGAGTCTAGACCTCCTAATGATTGCAAATGTTTATTGAAATTCACTTTTTTGATCATATATCATAGCTTGTATGCCATCATATTGAGTTAATCCAGTCAATCAGTGGAATGAGCGGGCAGTTCAATGACAGTTGGTGTGGAGAAACCTTTTTACAGCATTATAGAATCATGTTTGGATGTCTTGTATAGCAGCTATATGTAGTAGTCGAGTCGTTTATGGTGTATATAATCTTTTTGCTCTATAAAAATTGACAATAGTTTTGATATCAACTCGTGTGTACATCGATTGGTTAAGGCCACCCACACACCCGTGCTACGCCCGCCAGCTTAGCGCTGCGCTTGGTTTGATTACGATTTGATTTGATTTTAATTTTATTTTATATTCTTTTGTTTGTTTACGTTTATGTTATTTCTGGACGTATCTTTTGTTTTGCATTTGTTTGTTTGTTTGTTTTTAGGTAATACAAAATCTCTATTATCTAGCTATACGAATTATGGCCAATAAGCTCAGGCTAAAGCTGCGTAATTTGTAACTAATTGCTAATTTATTTATTGCTTCCATTTGTCAATCCTTAGTTAATATTTTTTGCAAGCAAACGCGCGCTGCACGGACGCTTGGTTTCGAAAAATGTACAGAGATTTGGGAGGATTCACGTTAAGATAGAGAGCACTGGTAATCATCCATCCGTTAAGATGTTCAATAAATTCTTTCCGTCGCCCATTCCCCTGTTCTAAATGGGGGAAGGCATACATTCATTTCGCGATGTATGCAATAATGGTTAGGGGTTAGACCTTTGGACCTCCCAAACATTGTTATAGAAAATATTTATACATATAGTCTGTGGCTTAGATCGATAGTTAAATTATCAATGGTATAGCTTAGGTGTAGAGTAAAAACCGTAGTTAGTTGTCCTATTGATAGATAGAGAGACAATGCGTTAAGTGTCCTGTTTGTTTTTCAGTTTCTTGTTTCTTGATTCTCTAACTCTAAGCGAGTGTGTGTTGCTAGCTTAACAGTATCTTGATTCTTTTGCTGCACAAAGTGCGCACAAAAAGGCATCTAAATCAAAAAGAATTGTTCACATTAGTTCATACGTTAAACATTTTTTTAAACATACATAAATGGGGGGGTCGGCAAGACGTATTTTGGTTGTTTTTTTCTTATGAATTAAACGACAGCTAAATGGCGAGGGGACGGGTTGCGGTCGCAGGGCGCTCTCTACTTACCGGCAATCTAGCGGCGATACTTGCTATTGGCACTGCCCCCAACGGCCACCGAACCGTTTGACACTCCCTTTGGCAGCGGTGCATTTCCATTCGGGGGCGGAGCTGGAGAACTGTACGGCCCATAGCCACTGGCCGGCGGCTGTGCATTATCTGTGGGCGAAACAGAAATGGAATTCATGAAGCAAACGAATTCCGATCGAAGCGAATCCACTCACGGTAATTGTTGGGGGGAGCTGCCGCATAGGGGTTCATGCGATTCGCATTCATATTGTTGTGCTTCGTGGGGCCACCGCCGTAGTTCTGCTGATAGCCAGTGCCGAAATTCGGAGGCGGTTGCTGGTGTGGCGGCGGACCCTGCGGCAGTGGTGCTCCAGGTACGGGTGGCGGTGCATTGGGCGGCATGTTCCAGTTACCCGGTGCCGGCGGAGGTGGTCCATTGCGATGATGATCCATTGGTGGACCACCAGCACCTGCCGGTGGCTGCACAGGCGGCGGACAACCCCATTGACTGGGATGCCACTGCTGTGGACCTGGCGGTGGCGGCGGCGGAGCATTCCAACCATTCTGTGGATAGCCATTCCAGCCGTTCATTTGCGGCGGTGGCTGCTGATAGTAGCCCTGCATCGGTGGCGGCGGACCCCAGTAGTTGTAGTTGGGTGGCGGTGCATTGATTGGTGGCGGCGGCTGGTGCGGATACGGAGGCATTGGCTGTTGTGGCGGCACAGGCGGACGGTAGCCGGGCGCCTGCATATTGCCATTATGCGGCTGAGGCGGCTGCTGTGGCTGTTGCTGCGGCGGCTTGCTGCCATTGGTCGGCGGTCCCTGGGACTGCTTGTCTTTCTTTTCCAAGTTATAAATAGATTTCTTAACATCCACGTGCACGTATTTAATGGAATGTTGTTTTTGAACTAGCACAAGAAATTCAGAATTTTAGAGGGAAACACACAGATGGATGGCACTCTCTACTCACGTATTGCCTTGTCCACAGCATCGTAATCATCGAATTCTATAAATGCAAATCCCCGACGCTTGCCGGTGGTTTTGTCGGTGAGCAGCTTCACGGAAACCACCCTGCCGAATTGCACGAAATACTCCCGCAGGCAGTCCTCGTCATGATTGTCCTTTAGGCCGCCGACAAATAACTTTTTCACAGATATATTCGTCTCACGGGTCTCACGCTCCGGGCGTGGCAGCGCCCGCTTGGCCTCCACCGTTCTGCAAGAGCAATAAACAATATCTCTGTCATCCCATTCGGAGAAGTAAAGTGTATAAATAGCACGAAACTTACTTGCCGTCGATGATATGGGGCCGGTTCTCCTGTGCTTTGTCCACCATCGTGGACTTTGTGTAGGTTATAAAGCCGAAACCACGCGAACGTTTCGTGGCGGCATCGCGCATCACCACCACATCGACCACCTTGCCCCACTGCCCGTAGAACACCTTGAGGCCCTCCTCGGTGGTGTAGGGCGCCAGGCCACCGATAAATAGCTTACGCAAGTGCTCCAATTCACATATGTCCTGCTGGGCGCATGACGCAACGGTGCCGGGACGGGTACGGGGACAGAGCGGGCGGGAGTAAAACGCATTAAAGATGCGTCACAGTGAGACATTTGCCATACAAACATATACATACACACACATACAAACAGGTACACTCATGCTCATGCCCCTGTGTGGGCAGGCATGGGCGTGTGTATGTGCATGTGCGGCTCGACTGCCGAAATCTCAGCTTGATACTTACATCATCCTCCCGATCGGGTATTTCTATGGTTTCCGTGCTGGAGGGATCCTCGCCGGATGTCTCCTCCTTGATTCGCATTGGATTTGACATGGTTATCACAAATTATAACCAATCAAAATTTTTTTGTTTTTATATCGGTGGCAGTGTGACCGCGGAATTATCGATAGAATATACCGCAGAACACCTCTTAAATAGACCGAAACATACCTAGTCACTTTACAAATATGCCGTAAATATACCGTAATCTTAAATCAAATTGCCATTATTTGTAATATTACAAGCTATATAAGTTAGTAAACTCAGCATTAAAACTATAATTTAATGCCATTCTAGGAGAAGAATTAACTTTAAGTACTTGTTTTGGATTGCTTATAAATAAATAGTGTTTGCGTTAACATTTCACTGTTGCACTTTACATGCCTCTGTCAGGCAACAGCTGTTTGCCCCACAGGGCTGCATTATTGTTTGTTCGTTTTTTCTTGTATTTGTTAAAAACAAAAATTCTCGTCTTTTTTCTTACATAAACAAAAGCCTGCGGGGGCTAAGAGTGTGCAAATGTTCTCTATAAACTTTCACTAGTGTCCAAAAGGTGAGAAACGCAAAGAAATACGCTCGGTTTGGTGTTTGTTTGTTCAGCTGAATTTATTCGGTAATTAGCTTAAGCTGATTGTGATTAGTTTAGTGGCTAAATCTAAGTTAAAGCTCAATTAAAAGTAGCTGCCTGGTTAATTGCTAGCAAGTATTGACTGCTCGACTGCCAGCACTTCCGCTGCCGCCTCCGACGCTGTTGCTGTTGTTGTTGTTGTTGTTGTTGCTAATATTGAAGGGAAGGCGTCGGCGTGGCTGCGTCTCGTAGCGCTCATCGATGTCTATATAATTAGCATCTGGATGTCCGCCTCCATTGTTATTTGCGTGCCCCTGCGTGCTATCTTTTGGCAGCGCGGCCGTCGCCGCTGGCGTTGGATAGTAGCCGAGGCCCACGCCGATGCCTCCGCCATGCGGCAGCGACGTCGTCCCACTGCTGGCCGGTGCGGCGTAACTCGCAGTTGTCTGATGACCCATTATAGAGCTCATAAAACCATTGGCCACGACAAAGTTTCTGAAAAATTGATTACATCAAAATAGTACTCCAGTTAGAGGGGTAAACTAACTCTCCCCCCTCGATTAGGATGTCTGTCTAATTGAGTTTGTGTGCGCATAAATGTCGTAAAATTAATTTCGTGTTAATTTTAAGTGCGGGGGCAGGACATCAATTAAAATTGTGACATTTCCTTGAATTACTTCCGTTTCAAAAAGGGGGAGGTGTCCCTTGTCCATTTCTCGGTGCTCCACTCACCTGTAGTGCTGATCGATTTGTGCCTTTTCTATGCGTTTATCCTTTGCCCTGCGATTCTGAAACCAAATCTTGATTTGGGTTTCTGTGAGGCGCAACGTTTCGGCCAGCTCGAAGCGGCGACTCCTGGAGATGTACTCGTTCCGATGAAACTCCACTTCGAGGCGCAGCGTCTGCTCGGTGCTGAAGGTGGTACGCTGGCGCCGCTGTCTGCCTTCCTTGCGACGACGGCGTGCCACTGAAAGGGGGGAACAATTGGTGTTGGAGATGGATTAAGGGGTGGCTTACACAGATTATTTTTAGCCCTAAGTGTTCCCAATCAAAGTTCAGTCATTTATTTCTGACCCAATCTTGTTCCAATCCACAAACTCTGTCCGAAAGAATACCCTAAAATTTGCTTATTTTCCTGGAAAATATGTACATGGCCAAAAGTCTTAATGTATTCCAAATTGTTATTAAATTCCTCAAGAAATATTCATCGCTGAAATATTTCTTCAACTAATCACCATTCGCTTCCATTCCAAAGGCGTTCCAAAAGCACTTCCCATGTCCCACAAATGTCTAAATAGATCATCATTTCATTTCGCTTCACATCTGTAAATGTTTATTCATAGTCGGAAACTATTTCCCCGCTCAATACCAATGCCAATTCCCCGCCCAAACCCATTCATCCGCCCGCACACAATGGAGATGTTGAAGCGAAATTAATCTTCCATTAACAAACCATCCCGACAAGTCCTCGAGCAGCTAAACGATTCCGAATGTGGCTTGCGTGTTTGTTAAGTTGAGTAAATAATTAACCACTGCTTTTGGCCGCGATTCTTCATCGCGTTTGTGCTGCACATTAGTGAATGCATTTTACACGCGTTCCGCAAAGTTTCCTCTTTTTTTAGCATCTTCTTTTTCTCTTGCTGGGCGAGCAATCCTATGCTGCTGATCCGGGAAACTTTGAACAATGCCAGCAGCTGGCTAGCACTCCCCTGCCATCCTCATCATCATCATTATCATCGTCATCCGTGAGGAGCGAGCACAGGGACTGGACTCTCATTCACATTTTCCAACCATCCATCCGTCCGACTATTTCGTTTTACATTTGCTGACTGTGTGGTGTGTGTCGGCGCGGCTCGGCTCTGTCTTTGTCGCCGAATTGGTCCAACCAACCGCACATTATGCCCCCCCATTACTGCCCCACCCTTCCCGCAACGCGGGAATTTTGCTTTGGTGGATTTTAGAGACTTTTCTAATTGATGTAACAAGGCGAAGAGAAGCTGACAAGTTGTCACTCGGTGGGTGTGAAGCTCTGTGAGAAGTGTACACTCTATAGAGCAGCAGATTGGGGAGGGAGTTTACTCTGCTAATCTCTACCGAGTAGTTTTTGCTTGATTACCTCTTTTGCCTCAACACAGGCTTAAGTTCTGTGTTTTTTTCTGGCTTTCTGCTGCTTTGAAATCACGTGTGAAATTCAATATGCAAGTGTCCTTTGGTTGCTTTTCTTGTGGTTCCCCCGCTATTTTTTTAGGTTTCCTGTCAAGCTCAATTACAATGTTAATTTTTTGTTGGCTTACTTATGATTTGTACAAGCTTTAGCCTCGAAGCTAAATGAATATTGTAAGTGAATATGTGACACAACAAGGGGGGAGTAGATTTCATAGATTTTTCTTTGATTAGATTTGGTTTTTGTAGCGACAGCAAAAGGACTTCAATTGCGTCTTGGTCTGTGGATTGTTAATACAAATTTTGAGCTACTATTAAAGATACAATTCCTATGGCAAGCTAAGCTCAAAACACTTTAAATTGCAAAAGGAATATCCACAAATATTAATACACAAAAATCCCTTAACTTTATCCAAGATAGGATGAGGTTTCAGATGTTTTCCCTCCTTCCCATAATTGAACCTTTTGCACTGGCCAACAATTTCATCAATTGCTTCCAATGATTACCCACCATTTGCCTCACTGCCTACCGCGCTGCATGATCCTTTTTTCATTATCCTGCCCACACCTGAGCACACACCTGAATCCTGAATCACAAGCCGCAAAAAGCAAACCGCAAACCGCAAACCTCATCAACCGCATAAGAAAACGAAAATGCCGCAAGTAAACGAAAACTTTCACACCTGAATGCATTTTAATTTTTTTTCCTCTCATTCATTTTTTTGTTGTTATATTTTTTTTCTGCCCCAACTAATTTCTTTTCCCCATTTCTCATTGTGTGGCCAGTTCGTGGCCTTTTTTCATTGCTGATTTATACATAATCCTTGCTGTAAGGACGATATTCAATATCACTTGCACTTAATCATTTTTTCTGCTTTCTTTTTCTGCATCCGATTTTTTGTAGTTCCTGCGGAACTAAGTTTTTTGCTGGCCTGCTCTCGGCAGCACCTGTGCTTCGGTGGAGGCGTGTGAAATGCCCAACACTTCCGCAACTCCTTTCCAGTCATAGAATTTCGGAGTTCTTGCCGGGATCTGGTGCAAAATGCTGGCTCCTCTGGGCTTCAGTTGCCCGCGCTGTTTGCTGCTCAGGCGAGTCGGAGGTGGCGGAGGAGGACGCTGGGCCATCGCTTCCCTGGCCAGGCAATTGGCCGATAAAACGCCAAAGGACATTGTGGTAAGGATCTAAGCTATCTTCTGCACACTTTCTATCTATGGGATTTTTCTACCGTCAGATACCCCCAGAGCCCACCACGTGCTGCATGTCCGGCTGTGCCAATTGCGTCTGGCTGGACTACGCCCAGACGCTGACCAAACTACTCGACGGCAATGATGAGCGTGCCCGTGAGTTAGTCCTTAGCAAGATCACCGATCCGAATCTGAAGATGTTTCTCAGCCTGGAACTACGCCAAATGAAGCTGCTGCACGAGGAGAAACCCCAGCCCCCAGCAGCAGGTGCCAACGAGGACACGAACACTCCAAAGACACCCTCAAAGTAGTACAAACAAAATTTACACCAAAATTTATGGTTTTTTTGATAGTTAGGAAACATTTCGTAGTAGCTCAAATTTACTCATGTACTTAGCGTTTAAGAACAACAAACCTCATTATAAGATCTAAGGGCTGCGAAAGCAAATATCATAAAAAGTGTGTGCGTTGTTCAGTGATTTGTGGGTGTAAAAAACGGTTGAAGGTGAAGGTATGAGAAGAATCAATGAAAATGTGTTCTATTGCACAGGGAAAGTTGTGGCAGTGGTTTGGTGTCCTTTAGTCTCATTTTGCTTACAGTTTTGGTATGGCTATTGATCTGCCGTGTGGCTTGGACTATCTCATTATATTTTGGCATCATTTTATAGCGTTCATTTAAGGGGAAATCCATCTAGTGACATTAAGATATTCGATACTACATTTTGAACGTATGGTAAATCTCTCAACCAAGCAAATCCCCTGCAAAATATCTGCTAAATATCATCTTTAGGATCCTCCTTAAACATAGAAAATCTATTCACCTGCAGCTTCAATCTCCTACCAAACACAATTAGCTTTTAGCGTAGCTCCTTCGCCGCCCCCCTTAACACCAAATTTCTACTCACAAAAGGCAGTAAATCCAGCGCTGAAATGGGGATCTCCAGGAAACCCCGGCGGAAATCCTGCGGGCAGTACGGCTACGGCAGCTCCATTTCCGGCTGCCATGCCAGGCAGCTCGTTGCCGTAGCTGTGCTTCTGCTGCTGCTGCTGCGACGGGTAATCCTTGGAGGCGCCATAGAACTCATACGAGGGAAATCCAACGAGGGACACGCGCTCGTCGCTGATGGAAATGTCCGGAGAGGAGACGCTGCCTCCGTCGCTGTGGTAGGGTGTGTCGCAGGCAGGCGGCGGCTTGTGGTGGGTGCCCACATCGATGTCGCCGCTCTCGCTGCTGCGCGTCTCGAGGTGCCCGTAGAGTCGCTCGAAGAACTGTCGCGGCGACGAAGGACGCTGCGTAGGTGTCTTGATGTTTGTCTGTGTCTGCGACAAAATGGGATTCGAAATGGGACTGGCGGAGGAGGTCTCGATGCGATCCCTAGCACTACCCTGCACAGCAGTCACCGGCTCCTGGTGTTGGCGTTGCATTGGATGAGGCGTTCGGTTATAGTCACGGCGCTAAGTGGACGACTAATCGCTTGTATAATCGGCGAGCGACTGAACTTTGCGTCACTTCCGATGGACGGCGGATGGGACCTTTGGTCAAGCGACGGCAACGGCGACGTCGACGCTTATCCTGTGCTGACGCTGCCAGCGCTAGCAAAAACAAACAAATTATGCGCCACATCAAAAAAATTAACAGCAAAGACGCCTAAAATTTCCGTTTAATAAAGAAACGTTATCCTGCCACAGGCTGCAGGCCAAGGCAGGGCTGAACGACGCTGATTGGCTGGACTGTTGATGAAACTTAACACCTCACGTTAGGGGTGTTGCTGCAAGGACATGGAGTGGAGTCCTTTTTTTTATAGGGACGGAGCGTGCGCATATTCAAAAAATAAAATTGGTGTGACCAGCCAGCTAGGTAAGGTAGTGTGACCCATTGACAAAAATACTATCCGTTTTTTGCCCATTTCCTATTGGCCAATCCTAATGAACGCTGATTGGTTGATTTTCATTGGTTACACATTTTAGGACTCTTTATTGGTTGAAAAGCGAACAAAAGATTAAGAAACAATTTAGAGAGTTACAACTTTTACAATCATTGCTAAAATTGATTTTTAAATTGGATTTAGCTAGTTTTTGGGGCTGTCTAAGGATTTAAGGAGCCGAGACGCCTCTTTACCAATTATGTTATTTTACACTTCTACCGGCCATTTTTGGAACTAGCACATAGCAAAGAAACGAACCACACAGCCAATAAAGCAGCTTTGCAAAAATATTGTGTTATACTAATGTAGAAATGTCCCTGTACCTGTTACTTAACATTTCGTGAACATTTCAAGAATATCGCTTGCAATTTAATAAATTCCAATACAAATTTGAAATATATAAGGCCATAAGGTATACAATCCAATAAAAAGGAGTATTTCTAATAAGCCAAGTTGATCCCCAATCGGATTAAATTATTGTTTTAGTTTTAAAAGTAGAACTAGAAGATCAGATCTACTAGAAGATCAAAGTCGAGGAATAGTGCTTGAAAATGTAAGTGTGAACGTATATTATTTGAGAGATATTTCTGTGTGATTTCTGTGCTCAAATTGAGCCGCAAAAATGAGGAGAGAGAGTATCTTGCTCTCTCCGCTGACCTAATCCGCTGACCTAATCCTCTCTTTTGCATGTGACCGCAAGGTGTGGCAAGTAAGTAAAAAAGGACGAACTTTCCAAAGCTCCCACCTTTTTCGCACCTGTTTAAGGATTCATATAACATGCCATGAACGATTTCGTTTGTATGAAATCAATCCCGGGGGATGAAAAAGTGGTGGTTTTTGCATACCTGGACGAAATTGTTTGTGACGTAATTAAGTTTTGTACAAATTTCGCACCATGAAAGCTCTTTTGCCTTGTTAAGGGAGTTTTGAAAGCTCTTTTCCTTTGCGAAGGGAGTTAAAGCAAACTAATGAGAACTAAATATAAAATAAAATATATTAATATTTAATTAAGGAAAATATTTATAGAAATAAAAGAAAATAATTTCAAGAATTGAAATTCAAATTTTACCACCAGACTTTGCTGTACAATTACAATTACGAAAATCTCCCACAGCCACAATTTTGAAGACAAAAGAAAGATAAAAACGCCATTCCGTAGGGAAGGACTATATCTATCAGATCACCGAATTGGAAACATATTGAATCATTATTATAGCCAGCATGACGAAATAAATTTGCAGTGGCTGCGCCAAAAAACCGGCAAGGTACTGCGTACAAGGTATAAGAGTTGTGACGCGTAAAGCGTCTCACACGTCGCTTCTCGTTCATTCTGCCGCGCTCAAACATTTTTTAATTTTCGATCGTGCGGTTCGTTGCGCGCGCTCGTTTGGTTGTTGGTTGAAAAAAAATCGTATTTACGAACTGTTTGTCATCAAAAGTTAACAACAAAAACGAATTGCTGTGGCTTCGCGTGTGCCCTTCGTATCGTGTATTTACCGTTAGTTTGAAAGTGAAAAAAACGTGCAAAAAGGAATAAACAAATTCAATGAAACATAAACAAAATAAGGTATGGGACCCATATCCCGCAGGAATGTTCTTTTACCAATTTCGTTTTGTTGCAAAAACAAGCAAAGGCATGCAACAACAAACATTGCACTTGCCTTCGCATGCCGCCCTTCCTCCCTTCCCCTTTCCCCCTTTGGGCGGATATGACTTAAATCGGTTATTGTCTGGATATTGCGTTTTTGTTTGTTTGTTGTGGGCGCGAGTGGAGTGTATTTGTTTTTGTGCAATGCAAAATATTTTGTTAAAACTCGTTTTTGTTCAAAAGGCCTTTTTGGTTATGTGCGAGTGTGTGTGTGTGTGTGTCCCTGTGTGTTCATCCATCAGTTTTTATTGCTGTTTTTAATTAAGCGCTGTTAGAGCGAGACAGCATCTGCCATGTGCTTGTGCCTCTGCTGCGCATCATTGCTCTCCCTCTCCCTCTGCCATTTATCCAACAAAAAGAACAATAACTGCGTTTCCATTGATATTTTTTTGAGCGGCGCTAAGGGCGCATCACCCACACACGCACATATATTCTCTCTCCCTCGTACTCGCACAGCATCGTGTTATGGTGAGCGGGGCGTGGGAGAGAGGCTGGGATTATTGTGGGATTTTTCTTTTGATTTCCTTAACACTCATTGCGGGAATTTTGGTGGGCCTATATCCGATCTTCCATGTCCTGTTCCCGATCCGTCCCGCGCATGCCCACCAGATTATGGGGAAATTTATATGGAAATGAACGTGAATGTTGTTTTTTGATTGATAGCAAATATCGCTGCAACGGCGCTTGCGCCTGCGCTGTGAGTGCATGATGTCAACATAACTGCATTTCGAACAGCTGTCGGCAATGTGTTCCGTTAGGAATGAGAATGAGGGAGTGGAGAATAGGCAGAAAGTAACGTTACATGTGGACATCTGTACAGTAAATAAATATTCTTCAATAAGTGCTATGTGATATTTTTGTTGTTAATATACCCTTCAAGAGAGCTCTTTAGTTTGGAGAAGTTGGCTATGTTTTTTTTCTGCAAGTTGTATGCTTGGTCGTTGGACTAACAACGAAAATTACTTAAACCTGACCTTACAGAGCCAAAATCGTGCCAAATTTGTCCAAAATCACAAGAAGTGGCTTCCGTAAAAAGTGATTATGCTCGAAAATGTGTGTTGTTGAACAAACTTTTTAGATTGAATGAAACTTTTGTTCAAAATCGCACTTAACTATAGGTCTTCTAGTTGTTGTTTTTTATTGGATTTGCAAGCATATACTCTACTACGCCAACTAATCGTATATCCCCATCTCTGTTATCTTTTTTTGCAGTGCTCAAAATCGTGTGACACACTTAAGGCCCTGGCCAACGCCTGGCTTTTGACGGACGGACGGGCGGCGCTCGTCTCCACTAATTGCTGACACAAATAATTTCACTAACTGGCGGAACATAAGAAAAGTGAAGAAGAAAGAAGAAAAAAAACGACGCAAAAAGAGAGCAAAATTGAATTTACGATCCGCATCAAAGTCAAGTCACTCTGTCACGGTGTCGCGCTGCTCGACTTTAACTAATTTAATGATCAAAAGTAATACAATTTTTTTGGCGCACTCCGTGCACTGTGTTCGGTGTTAATTGAAAGTGTCACGCTTCGTCTAAATTATAATTCCCCCCAATCGACTGGAGCGTCATTGTATCTCTTGTATGAGTGTCTGTGTGTGGAGTGCAACCTGTGTGCAACGTCCACAATGTGGCCGAGAGAAGTGGCTCAAAGTGAAATAATGTGCCGAATTGTGTGGCTAGCATTAATGGTCTCGGGGGCGGCCCAGGCGGCGACACCCTTTGCAAAGGAGTACCGCAGCGCGGGTCTCTTCAAGGGCAACACCCTCGTCGATTTGGATGGATCCACCACCCTGGACATGGCCATGGAGAAGCCAACGAGCAGCAGTGGTCTCCAGACGGCAGGCTTCAAAGCGGAATCGTCGGTGATTCTGCCGGGCATCCATTTAAGTTCAGGTAAATGGGGGAGAAATCCTAATGTTAAGATGGGTATTCTTATGGGGAATATACATGGCTAATTTAAAAGAAATCTCTTCCACGCTCCACACTCAATATGATATCTTATATTAGTAAGAACAACACCAAATTGATGTTCTCTTTCCCACTTCTTCCAGGAAATTGTAAACCATACAACGTCTAACCCAACAAAAACTATACAACTTTCATTCATTGCTCCTCCTTATCAATAACCCAAGAAAACCCAAAGAACTTTATATTTTTGGACAAAAAATAGGAAGTGTTCACTTTTGGGGTTCCACACTCCACACTCCACTCTTTGCACCTTCTTCCCCTCTTGCATTCTCCAGGTAGAATGTCTCCCGTATGCCGGCGCTTATCTAACGCTTATCTTACAACACTTTCCTGCCTCTCGCTTCCCCCTTCCTCTGCCGCTCTGTCTCTCGATCGTGTCTTTGGTTTATTTATGACCTGCGCCTTGGCGGCATCATATTTCAGAAACATACAACAACAAAAACAACAACAGAAAAGCAGATTACCCGAACAAGTGTATTTGCTCGATTGTCTCCTTGGTTTGCCCTTTTTTCGGTTTCAGTTGGATCTTTCTCTCCTTTTTGTGTGCCCTTGGAAAGAGTATATTTGACTTACCCAGCAGTATGTAACGCAGAAAAGGAGGCATAAATGATATAAATATATTCCTAATAATCATAAATAGCCGAATTAAATGATATAGTTCAATCTTTTTTTTAAAGGGTATCCAATTTTCGTCACTGCAAAGTCTTATAGTTTTTGGACTGCTTTGCATTGTGTCTGTGGTTCGAGGGTCTGTCTCTGCTCTCAGAGGGTCTCTGTCTGCTCTTTGCTCTTGTTTTTCTTTAGTCTCTGAGGATTCGCTCCCCTCCGCCCTTTCCTTAGTTCTGTCAGCGTATATTCCCCACACTCCCCTGGTAATCCAATCTCTGCTGCACTTGAAAGATGAATGGTGGCCCACAGCTGGCAACCAGGATGTCAACCACAGCTTTGGCTCTCAATCTCAGTCGGGAGTCTCATTCCTGCTTCAAGGCACGCATCACATCCGTTGGAGTAATTTTCCTGCCTCATTATAACCAGATTAAAGTGTAATCACAGAGCGACCCAGACGTGTGCTTGGGACACGTGATTCTGTCTGTCTGGTCTGCCAGTCCCCTCCCTCCACAGGGGTTTCTTTTTAATTTTCATATTTCTTACGATTATTTTTTGGGGTTTGGTTTGGTTCTCTTCTTCGATCTTTTTGGCAGAGTGCAAACTTCCATTTCCTGTCCCCGGCACTCACGATGATAGAGTGAAAGGGATCCCTCCTCCAGTCTCGAGTATCGACTCGAAAGGTAGTCTTTCCCTTTCTGGTGCCTGGTGGGCTCCCCTTGACCTCCTCCTGCTCCTCTGCCCAGATCTTGGGGGGTTTATTTAAATGACATTTAAGCCGCTTAAATGTTGTGTCGCTTCGTACATTTTTGATTTTTTATGACAACATTTTCAAGTTTTATGCGAGTCCCATTTTATGAGCGTGAAAATGAAAGTACTTTCGTCATGTCTCTAAAGAGAGAGGAGAGAGAGGAAAGAGAGGTTGGGTTGGCACCCTTTCTCCGGCACCTACCCAGTAGATCTTTCGCCGCCTCTTTCTCTATCGCTGTGCCGCTGGGCGGCCTTTTCCTTTGGAGTTTTGCGGCCTTAAACTTATGGATGACTCGGCAGCATTTTGGAGTCGCCTTACATTTTCGGGGGCTTTCTTAAATGTGTCATAATTAAAAACAGACCTTAACCATTTTCGTGGGCAGCAGCTCCTGATGAGTAAGCAAAGTGGAGTCACAGCTTAAAGCAGATTAAATAATGTGTCTGAAAGAACAACAAAAAGGATTATGTTATAGTTCTTTAAGTGCTTGAAATTAAAACAAAGCTCATGGAAAATATCGAATTTCTAAACAATTTTCTGAGGAAAGAGAAGAATACTTGAAGCATGGCTTTATATTCGACAAAATGTACAATCTACACCGAAGATTGATTCATTGACTCAATCATTATTGCTTCTAAACTAAACTATTAAGTGTATAAATCGAGCAGAGATTATTTTAGACGCTCATTTCTTTTTATTCGACAATATCTGACCTTAAACTAATTTACGAATGTAGAAAACAAGTTCCAAAGTTGTTAAATAACCCTAAAAATACGTGCACACCTTCCGGAATAACTTGCAAAGCGCAGAAAACCGAGGAATTCCTCAATCTCTTATTTATTCCACAATTCCTGAAAAAAATATGAAATATCTTTGTCCCCTGAGGCCACATCTTAGACAGTGGCTACTAGGGCTACTACCTGAATGAATCTCCCCCTGCTCTGCTCCCCAATGTCAAAGCCAAAACCAAAGAAGAGTTGGTTTATTTTTGGGATCTTTTTCAGCAAACAAAACACGCAAACTTTGGCCCAAGCCTGGGGACGGGACCAGTTTTTGGTAGCATTTTGGAGTTCGAGTCGCGCGTTCTTCCTGGAGAGTACAGTACGCAGAAGATCTTAGCAGGAGGCTGTTGGCTGTTGCTTGTGGCTGCTTCTTGGGGTCTGTCTCTCCACTGGCACTTCAACTCTTCAGCGTGTATTTAGATAGAGCTGAAACGTTGAAAGATACAACGCTGTTCGAGAGTATCTGTGTGTGTGTTTGTGGCACAGTCGGGCCATGTCCATGTCTCTCTGTCTGCGTGTATGCCTGAGCCAAACAAAGCCAGCCGACAATCGTAAAAACTAAACGACGAGAGAATTTATGAGGCCTCGAAACGTAGCAGGAGAGAAGAGTCGGAAGACCCTCTCTCTCTCTGGGTCTTTAGAGCTCTTCTGTGTGTAGATCAAGTGCCAAAGTCAAGCCAAGCATTCCTCGAGTTAGATAACAGCCCAAGGATTCTGTCCCTGTTACTGTCATGCAAATGCAGATACAGATAAAAACTGAATGCAGTTTTTGCAGTTGAAATATATATAAATCACAGGTAGCAGACGAACACTAGACGGGCATGGAAACCCAAAGGCAAAGTGCGAAATATCCCACAGAGCAACGATCACCAGCCAGACAGACAGACAGAGTGCAGTGCGTTGCAGTGGTGCACATGTTGCACGAGGGGGAAACACACAGAATCCCACAGAATGCATCTGTTAGATGCTGTGTGCTGCATTCAGGGTCCATCCATCGTTAACGTTTCCACGCTAATTTGACGAAAGCAGAGCCCATTTAATGGCATATCTTTTCCAACAATTTCATGCTGCTTTCTGCTGCGGCTCTCCCTCCTCCCAACAGGTCTGTAGTCTGCAGTCGATCTGGATGCTGGAAGTATCTGTGTATCTTACAGGTAGTTTTTAACACTTTAAAACTGAATCCGTTTAGTGGCGGTGTGCGAGTGTGCGAGTGTGTGTGCTGTGCATTATTCCCCCTTCTTTCCTACCATTTGTTTACACCTTTTGCGAAAAGTCAAGAAAATGAAACGGTTTCTGGCCAGTTTTATGGCCTGAAAACCTGTGCCCATACCCCCGATGCTGTTGACCCCTCTTCCTTTCCGTCCATTCCATTCCCCTGCTGATTCACATTTTCTTGTTGTTGTTTGTGGTGCCCTGTAATTGCAGAGTATTGTAAGGGTATGTTTGATGTGTTAAATGATTTGTAACATGCGAGGAGCACAGAATAAAACGAGTCGGAAATTGCAAAAACAAAAAAAACAAACACCCTCCACAAACTAAAGGGTATCTGCACTGTTCATACACTCCACCAGAGGCCATCCTTTCTTGTTCTTTTGTTTATTTTCTCAATCGTTTGTTGTTGCTATTTATTTGTTTTTAATTTTACAGAAGGAAAAAAATACAAAAAAGAAAAGAAAATGGAAAATTGTGCAATGCTTTTGGGGAGAATATTTCGGTTTTTGTTTACCAACAAAATTTATTGAGTGCGGGTAGGGGCAAAAGGGGGGTTGCTTTTATGAACTTTTTGTTGTTTGCAGATCTTGCGGAGATTTGAAAATGGAACTTTCTATCGTTTACCAAAGGAAATAGGCAAATTTTTCATTAGATTTGTATCAAGAAACCATTGTTCAAAAACCGATATTGTTGCAAACAGTTTGAGGCCACAAAGCAACCCACCTACGCGGCGGTGGAAAATGCTTCAAACTCTTTTTTGTCTATTTTCAATTTTGGGTATCCAAATTGCATTGGCATACAAAAGATACTCGCTTACAAGCCATAAACAGGTGCCTGGTTATGTTTTTCCTTTGTGGCTTTTACTTATTTTGTTAATTTGAAAAGTAAACTTTAGACTTTTGTCTTTTGCGGCCAACGCATGCTGCTCCTCCATCTCCAGCTCCATCTGCGCCTCCACCCACTCTCCACAATCCAAGACGTAGACTTTCGATTAGAAAGAAAGTGCCACACACAACACACCGACAAATGTGAATGTTTTGCTTCTTTTTTTTTTTGGGAAAACAACACAAGTTTTGAATAAAAGGCAATAAAAATATGTGCCATACAAAAAAATCAATCGCTGAATAGAGAATTCCGGCACCTGGTGTCACCAGTGAAGCGAGGGCGTAGCTTCTTCGTGGGCGTTACGATTCGTTGGCTATAATGCCATTACTCGCCTGGTAACTTGTTTTCCACCATTCTGTATGTAACCGATCGATCGATGGCTGCAGAGCTGTAGATCCATAGAGCTTTGCTGTTTGCCATAAACATCTCGTCAATCGAAAAGCTAAAGTCATAAAATTTAAAGCAGTTTGAAGTTCATTGGAATACACAGATGCGGGCCAGTGCCAGATGCATCGTTGCAGATGCAAATGCAGATGGAGAGCATGTGCAGCCACAGAATACATAAAATTAACAACATTATTGTGTATTCATTATGGAGTTCTGACATCACCCACATCCCCTAGTACTTTTCCCCTACTCCGTATACCATCTAATTGAAATAGAAATCTCGGCAGTGTCTCGTTTCTCTCTCC